ATGTCAATGGATCAGCCTATTATCCCTCCCACACACACACACTTTTTTTACACCCGGACAGGTGAACTACATGTAGCGGTTGGCTTGATGATCTACAGTATGTACATGTACCCCCAAAAAACAAATACAAATTTTAAAAGTGTTCAATATTCAAATGAAAGTACATGTCCTGTACCTGAAATAGGGAATTTTTATATTGTCTCTCTGAGCAATTTCTTTCAAAATGTACATGCACGAGTGTGTGTGTAAAGTACATGTATACTGTGTACTATACTAGTACACAATGTACATGTACATATCAGGACATGTTGGCGGTTCCCAGTCCTTTTTGGTGAAGTTCTAACTTTGCCTGCCCTGCCTGCTGTTGAAGGCCCAGATGAGGAGATACATGTACAGTCACAGATCGCAGAACAAAAACATTCAATCTTCTCTGCAAAGGTTTCTCACTTCCTCTGAATGCTTTTGTTTAACTTGAAACCTAAAATTTTTCACTCTGTTCAAATACAGAAATGAGTCACTAAGGTACATGTACGGTACAAATGTACAACTGTGGCACTACGGTAGGCTACATGTACTGTACATTTCAAACTTGTTACACACAAGAACAAAAGCAACGATCTGTACTAAGATTTTGGACAGACCATACATGCACATGTTAAAGTCTGTACATTCATCAACACTTAGGCATCTGTTTCAAAATTAACGCCTGGGACTTGTCCTTCCACAATGACTAAATTACCGGAACCTCTTCAAATTCATACAGTTAGGGCATACATGAAAGCCTCTCAGGTCTCAACCTTAGATACCCCCTCCGGTAATTGCAAAGCCTGGAATCCCCAGAAGAGCAGGCTGTCTGTGCTTACTGAGGAAGCCTGCGGGTCAGCTATGACAAGCCTGGTTTCCTATTGATAATCTACAACTACATGTACTGCAGCACTATAAATAGTCTGTTAGCAGCATGGTCACTCCTCAACTCATCATCCTGATTCTATGTACTGGTACATGTACATACACATGTACAGTATATCAGTACATACGAGTACTACTGTAGACTACAGTGTAGTGTACACGTGTATAAATTGCATGTACAGTACACCTTTACATGTACATGTACGTGTACGTGTACATGTACGTGTACATGTACGTACCATGGAGCTACATGTACGCATACATGTATACCACTAGCTGTACAAATACATACAGTTACATATAACATACATGTGCTTGAACTTTCTTCCTAAAACTGGACTTTGCAAGTACATGTATGCAGTTGTTTTGATTCAAAAACATGTACATGTATGTACATGTACATTTACACTCTACATGTACATGTAGTATCCATCTGGGGAAACAAAAATTTTTAAATACAAGTACACGTACCATAATTATAAAATGGCCCATCTTTTTGGGGGGGAAATCCAACTGATATTTTTCACTTGATGTACTACATAAAAACTTTAATGAAACGGTAACTTTGAGTAAACCTGCAAGTTAAAGTTAAAGTCCATAACATACCACTGGCACTACACGTGTATGTATCTTTGGTCACTAAAGAATACACATCCATTCATTTGTTTAGCCAACTTGTTTTAATTCAAATTCTTCCTTAACTTTCTGAAAAAACTCTGTGAACCCTACAACATGTATGTCTGTACTGTACATTGTACATGTAAATGTCACAAGGAAATGGACACACTATAGGGGATATTCCGTCACATCCAGTTTTGAAGGGAAAGCCTGTATTATATCCGGATTAATCCAAATACTTGGCTTGCAGTCAACAAGGCCTGGGACCTCAGCACATTACTCTTGGCAATGTTCCATCAGCATCAGACTGAAGCCTAGCCCTTCGTAGCTAGGCCTACATGTATCGACTGACTGCTAAAATATCACTGGATACTGTTTGGTCAACAGATGGCGCTGTTCATGTACATGTACAGCTGCATGATGTCCAGGGAAAATTCCTGTGCCGCCAACTACACTAGACTGCTTCAATATACATGTAAAATGTACGTGTACAGTGTACATCCTGAAATAATTTCACTGATGTAAATACATGTATTTGTAAATATACATGTACATGTACACATACATGTTTGTAATTAAGAAATAAGTCACTCAGACTGTACTGCACTCCTGTCTATTCGAAATTCCTATACAGGTGCGGTATATACTGGTTCATACATGTACAGGTACGATAGCTGTGTGTCCAAAGCTTATCACATGGGTAGTACCGGTACTGACCAATAAAACATCGCTGATATCAGTTTGGCTCCTCCCACTAGCTTAGCCAGAATCCGAACTGTACTGTTTATGTACTGGTACATGTATGTACATGGGTTGTTATAACCCCCCCCCACACGCTCGACCCCATGACCCCCTCGACTTACGGTACATTCAAATCCTTCACAACACAGATTACTAGGAGCCTGAACCCATGGAATGTGTGGTTTCATCAAACAGAGAATTCGAAGAACTGTGTTACGCATTGTTTCCACAGTTTGAGAAACATCAAGGTTTAATATTAAAAAAACAATGCATGCATGCGGGTCACGGAAACACGTATCTGAACGCACATATGTATGTGAACGTGCATCATTAATGTACTGATGAATGTGCTGATGACGATCATGCCGGTCTGGTCGTGGCCCAAATAAGAATGAAGGCCGTGTGGTGTTAGAAGATGGGTTAGGGTAATCAACAAGATTATAAAATGTGCGTACTCGTATCTGCACCATTGCATATGAGTATTTTTCATAGAAAGGTTGGGGCAATTATCAAAAATGGAGTGGAGGAACTTTAAAGTAAAATACAAAACAAAATTGCTTTCTTGGCCGAGTTGCACGGCAGCTC